ATACAGACACACTGACTGGACACTCCAGTACATTAACACTGCACTGAGAGAGAGAGGGGGGTTCAATAGCACAGATGTGCTCTAACCTCTAACAGACAGCTGAGCCTGTGGAGATTCTTTGTTGTTCTCGGTTCTACACTTGTAGAAGCCCTCGTCCTTTCTTGACACGGAGGAAATGGTCATTTTTGTATCATACGTGATAGGTAGCTGTTCACCATCCTTATAGAAGTAAATTCTGAAGTAAGATCCGAACCGTACATGACAGCGCAGAGTCACAGAGTCTCCCTCTGTCACAGGCTGGGGAGGTCGCTGCAGGATCACACTGCCCCCTAGTGGAGAGGGAACAACAGAGAACATACAGTGAAAAACAGAGAATTTAAATCAGGAGATATTATATTAAAATTGTATCAGATATAACGCACGTAATAGAAACACACTGCTGCTCAGAAAGGAACAACCAGAAATATCCTGACAGACTGGGGGAACTGAGTCTCTTCAGTTTGAAGGGACTGTCCCACACTGACAGGCTGGAGGAACTGAGTCTCTTCAGTCTGAAGGGAGCGCCCCACACCGAAAAGCTGGAGGAACTGAGTCTCTTCAGTCTGAATGGAGCGTCCCACACTGACAGGCCGGAGGAACTGAGTCTCTTCAGACTGAAGGGAGAGACCTGTTTCCTATTTTCCAAATCAAGAAAGACACTGACAAAGTCAGTTCAGTGGATTTCAAGACCGAGGACAAACATAAAACTTCTTTACACAGATGGTTGTGGGAGTCTGGAACAACCTGTCCAGTCAGTGCTGCCAAAGAAAGACGGGATTTGCTAGATGGGCCAAATCCGTTGTAACCTTTCTAACTATGATGTTAAGATGTAGTGCGATGTTGGACCTAGTGGACAGGAGAACGTCTTACCTGTGACCTCTATGTTGACTGGATCACTCTGAAGGGAATCCCTTTCAGATCGCATTACCCGGCATGTGTACACCCCACTGTCAGAGGTGTATGCAGCCGCAGTGATGAAACCAGACTCAAACACATCTTGGCCATTTTTGTGGAAGTTAAAGGTATGCTAGCCTTTGGCTTCACATTTGAGAACGATTTTATCTCCCGTCAGGAAATCTGCTAATTTGGTTGACTGGTTCTTGTCTGGTCTCAGAGGTTCCAGTCAAAGCTGTCCTATCAGTCACAAGCAGAAGCACCGAGACTGTTCTAACACCCTGTATGTCTGCTCAAGACCAAGAAAGACTAATAGCCCTTTCTTTCTGAGGCCCGATTCTGGGGGTACAGGGGTCTCCTTTGATTTCTCTTACCGATTACTGTGATGGGCACTGGGTCACTCACAGCTGTATCTCCCCAGTACGAATTCACACCCTTGCAGGTGTAGTTCCCACTGTCAGTCACTTCAGCTGAGTGTATGGTATACGTGTAACCACGTGACAGATATTTCCCATCTTTGTACCATTGAAAGTGCCAGTACGTTGGAGATGTCTTGCACTTCAGAGTGACCTTATCTGTGGTCAGTATGTCCTTCCACGGGGGGTCAAGGGTCAGGACAGGTTTAACTGGAGCTGGGGGAGATAATACAGAAACATTCAAGCTCAAATCACACACACACACACACACACACACACAACACCACACAGGCTGAGTGAGGAGAAGAGCAGGCTGACACACACACACACACACACAACACCACACAGGCTGAGCGAAGAGAAAAGCAGACTGACACACACACACTCACACACACACTCACACACAACACCACACAGGCTGAGTGAAGAGAAGAGCAGTCTGACACACACACACACACACACTCTCACACACAGGCTGAGTGAAGAGAAGAGCAGTCTG